GCAAGGTCGGCAGTTCAAAAGCACCAGCCACTCAGGGGGAGAAATATGGAACTTTCTAGTCTGGTTTTCTTTGGAGTTTCAGTCTCAAAACCCACAGGGGCAGTTGTCCCTGCCCTCCAGGACTGCTCTGAGTTGGCAGCGACTCCGTGAGAGCGAGTTTTGTTTGTTTGTTTGCTCTATCTGAAGTTGGGGTAGCAGAGTAGAAAATAGAATTTGAGTACACATTAGACATCCAGCACTTCTTTGAGGAGTACTGATTTGTGGGCTAGGGGTTGCATTCCTATCCGAAGGCTGGTAGTGCAAATCCACCAGCTGCTCCTTGAGAGAAGGGTGAGGCTGTGAGTTCTGGGAAACATTTACAGTCTCAGAAAGCCTATACAGGGTCACTCTGAGTAGGAATCGACTCAGTGGTAGTGGGTTTAAGCTAATTCATTGGTTTCAAGAAGTGTGCATTATGAATAACTTAGCTGATAAAACCTCTTTTTATTGCATCTTAAATTTTAAAATTAACACTGTTAAAAAGTTTTTCTGTTTATTTCAAACTAGCTTGTATGTCGCAAAAAAGTTGAAGTCAGTTTTGATTTTACTTTGATGCAATAAACATGGATGCCTGTATACCTGTCCCTGCTTCGTTTCTTCTTTCTTTGGGGTAGAGAGATTTTAGGACCATGAGACAGTTCTGCTTGCCTTTGTTTCAGGAAGCACCAGAGTGGCTGCACAATTCTGCTATTCCGTCAGCGATGTGCAAGCATGCCAATCGCTCCATACCCTCTCCAGCATTGGTTATTTTCTGGGTTTTGCTGTTGTTATTAAGCATTTTGGTGTGAGGTGGTATTGCATCATTATTTTGATTTTTTTTTATAGCTAACGATCATGAGAATTTCTTCATATGATTGTCGGACACCTGCATGTTATCTTTAGTAAATTGTCTGTTCTTGTCTTGTGCCTGTTTTTTTGTTTTTTTAAAAATTGGATTATTTATGTTTTTCTTTTTACGGTGTCACGGTTCCCTATCGATTTTTGAAATTACCCCTTTATCTGATAATTGCCAAATATTTTTCCCAATCTGTGGGGAAAAAAACAGTTTTCGGGTTCCCTTCTTACTCTTTTGATGAAGTCTTTTGGTGTACATAAATGTCAGGTGTTTCGAAGGTCCCAGTACTCCATTTTGTTTTCTGTAGTGTGGGCATTTTTCTCTGTGTCTGGTAGTGTCTGTATGCCTTGTATTAGGGCCCTGAAGTTTGTCCCTGTTTTTCATTTGTGATCATTTTGGTTCTAGGGTTTATATTTAGGTCTTCAATCCATCTTGGGTTCATTTCTAAAATATGGTGTGCGGTATGAGTCCTGTTTCATTCTTTTGCAGGTGGAGATCCAATTTTTCCAGTGTTATTGATTGAAAAGGCTCTCTTTTCCCTACTTAATGTGCTTTAGTCTTTTATCAAAAGCTAGGTATCTGTAGGTATTTGGCTGTATTTCTGGGTTCTCAGTTCTAATCCATTGGTCTTAATGTCTATTGCTGTATCAATTCCAAGTTGTTTTGATTAGTACGATTGCGTAATAGGTTTTGAAATTGGGGAGTGAGATACCCCCAAATTTGTTTTTGTTTTTTAGTTGTGTTTTGTTTATCCTGGTTTCTTTCATTTCCATAAAAAGTTGGTGATTGGTTTTTCCATTTCTTTAAAGAATTGTGCTGGGACTTGGATCAGAATTGTATTGACTTTATGAATTTTAGAATACTGACATCTCACTATATGAAATCTTTTTTTAAGAAAATAATCTTATTGGGGCTCGTACAACTCTTTCACAATCCATCCATCCATCCATCCATCCATCGTGTCAAGCACATTTGTACATATATTGCCATCATCATTCTCAAAACATTTGCCTTCTACTTGAGCCCTTGGTATCAGCTCCTCGTTTTTCCTCTCCCTCGCCACTCCCTCCTCCCTCATGAACCCTTGATAATTTATAAATTAGTATTATTTTGTCATGTCTTACACTGTCCGACATCTCCCTTCACTCACTTTTCTGTTGACTGTCCCCCAGGGAGGAGATTATATGTAGATCCTTGTAATCGGTTCCCCCTTTCTACCCCACCCTTCCTCTACCCTCCCGGTATCGCCACTCACACCACTGGTCCTGAAGGGATCATCTGTCCTGGATTCCCTGTGTTTCTGGTTCCTATCTGTACCAGTGTACATCCTCTGGTCTAGCTGGATGGATTTGTAAGGTAGTAGCCTAGCATTTTTTAAATTAAAATTTTATTATTAAAAAAATTAAAGGAGTGTTGTTAAAGTACAATGAAACTATGTATTCATCCACCTATTCCAACAATTGTTAAACTTCTGTCATATGAACTTTCATAACTTTCTCCCCCTTTTCTCTTCTAGTTCTCCACATATTTATTTATGCGTAATATATGTGTTTTTGTGGAATCATATAAAAGCAACTTCAGGCATTATGTCACTTTGCCTCTGAGTACTTTATGTATACCACCCCTAATAAGGATATTCCCCGGTACTCCCCAATGTAAAATATACCTAAAATAATTAGCCAAAAATCTCTACATGAAATACACATTCAAATTGCTCGGTTATCTCCTGAATGACTTACATAGCAATTTGCTTTGCACCACGGGCAATAACCAGCAGTGGAGGTGGACACAGCTGTCCTCCCTAGTGTCCCACAGCAGCGGCCAGACAGGCCTCCCCCTCCACCCTTCTTCAGCCTGTTCGGACTCCACCTATTCCTGCCATGACACTGTACTTCTCTGGTCGGTTCTGGAATTCATTTCAGTGGCCACACACACTTCACAAACAATATTCACAATTAAGGGGTTTATTAAGGAAGCTCCTAGGCTACCCCAGTCCAGGATCAGTAGATGGTGGGATTCAGTCAGTGGACTACAGCATGGGCATCGAACTCCTCGACAACATGGGCCGTTGGGTGCAACAGGCAAGGTTCACGCGGGCCACATCACATTTACAAATGTTGTTACATTTCTATTTTGAAGTGAGGATTCAGGAATATGGATAGGATAATTAAAACACTATATAATTGCTTTTATTTAAACATTTATGTAATGTATTTATAAAACTAAAATTATTCCTTTTCACCCGAAACTTGCCAGCTCTTTCCTCCTACTAGTTTTCACTTACCTCTTATGTTGTGACCGGAAAATAGAACAAAGTAACTAATAAAAAACACACAATGTTGGACAGCTGACAAACGTGATGCACAATCGTAATGGCTTCCCTCTAAAAATGTCAACTAGCGCTGCCGCTAGGTCTGATTCATAACAGCAAAACCCAGAGTGCTCTTTTTAACCTTTTTGCTGTTGGAATCTGTTTACATTACGTGACACTGAGAGTGCCAGACATATCGCTTCCAAATGTCGCCAGAACTGAGTCAGCGCGTTTATACACGTCCACAGGCCCCCAGGAAAGGCACTGGGCCACGTACGTGTACACTCGTCTTCAGTGATTAAAGGGTTAACGAGGGAACTGTGTGTACTGTATTGCCTCGATCTCCCCTAAGCGCTATTCTCTTCATAACAATTTTTTCTATTTTCATTTTATTTCAGAGCATCGCAGGCCACAAAAAACCATGCCAGGGACCGCCCGTTTGACACCCCTGGTCTTAGGCAACACTTCTCAGCCAGCAACCAAGTTTCTCCCCAGTCCTCATAGTCCCTTGTTTTTTCGCCTCTGTAAACCAGGAAGCCCACCTGCCTGTTTCTCTTTCTTACAGCCCCATCGTTTCAGGACAGACGAGGAAAAGGTAACCCTGAGACTGTGCTGCTCCTCCAAGTCTCCATGCCACAGTCTATAGTACACGTTGTCTCCGTGGCCTCCACCCCTTCAGGTAAGAGATCTTGGATGTACTCTTCCACGGTCTCTGTTCCAGATGACTCTTAGATACTGAGTAGACTTTGCTGGAGGTGTGATTTGTCTTTTAGCTGACCATCTCCCCCAGGAAAATGAAGGATCATGTGTGTCTTAAGTCACACCTTCTAATACAGTGGTCTTAAAGAGCCCCCAAGGAAACAAAGGAGACTTGGTTGACATCCTTTACTACAGTCAGGTCTTCATCCCACGCTAACCTGGCCATTGGGATGCCCTCAAATGCCCTCCAGTAGGGAGTGCCCTCCAAAATGAAATCACAGTCACTGGCATAGAGTCTCGAACCAGGATACATCTCATAAGGAATTGTGGCTAGAAGGGCCATATTAATTGGCTATATCTCACCAGGATCTAAAGTCTTTTATTTTACAACAGTACTCCTAATGTTGTTTATCTTTGTGGCTAACTTTTTGAAAGAATCAGTTATCTTTATTCTCCATACTGCTACTAACTTGTTCCTTAATTCCTTTTATTTTCTATGCACTGGGAACTTTAGCAAAAGGCTTGCCTAGATTCAGGTAAAGTCTGTTTATCAATATCCTATAAGTGATTTTGCATTATCTCTAGAGCCACATGCTATTTGATTACTTCAGTAAGATGCTGGCAAGAAAAAAATCATTTGTCAATACAGTAGTACTATTTTTCTCCTTCTTTCAGGAGTCTCTGCCCTGGTGGCATTGTGGTTACACCTTGGGCTGTGGTCAGCAAGGAGAGCACTTCGAAACCATCAGGAGCTCCTGGGGAGAAAGAAGGGGATTTTTACTCCATCAAGAGTTAGTCTCAGAAATCCAGAGGGATAGTTCTACCCCGCCCTATGGGGTGCCATGAATCAGAATGGACCCAGGAGTCTGCATGGCAATGAGTTTGCAGTTTGGTTTTCAAGAGTCTGTAAGTGCCGCACCGGGTTAAGCACTGGGCCACTAACGGAAAAGCTGACCATTTGATTCCGCCCAGAGGCCCCTCAAAGCAGTGGTCAGGCTATCTACTTGGGAAAGATCCTGAAGTACACGGGTTGCCATGAGTCACACTCGACTCAATGACAACGGCTTTGTTTTGCTTGCTGTTTTCTCCCTTCCAATTGAGTAACATGCAGGTAACATGATGTTGTTGTTTTGGTGGTCAGCTGTGGCTGAGTCAACTCTGACTCACACTGACCTTCTGGATATCAGGACAAAACGCTGCCCGAGCCGGCGCCAAGTTCGGGATGGGATACGCAAGTACATCGTCTCTGCTGCGGGGGAGCGTTTCCCTCATTGTCACCGAGGGTCTACTGATGTCCTCTCCTAGTGATTGCCCTTTCCTTGCGACCCGTCCCAAGTAAGCGAGCCAAAGCGTGGGTGTCTTTGATTGAATTTCTGCTAGGACTGGTCTGCTAGTTCCTCCAGCAGTCTATGGCCTAGTCGATATTCTTTGCCAACACCAGAGTTTGAAATCTCTCCTTCTGTTTTCCTGTTTTATTGTCCAGCTTTTGTATGAGGCCAGTGAGAAGACCTTGACTTGGGTCGGGTGCACCTTAGTTATCAAAGTGCTATCCTTTGCTTTTAAATTTCAAAGAGGTCTACCCCAACAGCCTTGCCTAATGCACTATGTCCCTTGATTTCTCAACTGCTGCTCCTACGAATGTTGATTAATCATCAAGTGCAATGGAATCATTGACAGCATCGATTTCCTCTGCAGTTATCATGCTGTTTATTGGTACAGTTGTGAGAACTTTTCCTTTCTTGATATTCAGGTGTAATTCACACTGATCCTCACAGTAAAGGCTTTCTGTCACTTGTCGTTAGCGCGCAAGGTGGTTATCTGCACCTCAGAGGTTTCTGATGTGCCTTCCTCCCATCCTGATGGCAAAGTCTTCTTCATACCGTTCGCCTTCGTGGATTATTTGTCCCGCACACAGAGCGAATGAAAAAGACCCTCATTGTCATCAAGGGCATTCAAACTCAGAGCCACCCTACAGGGTGGAGTAGAACTGCCCCTGGGGGTGCTGAGAACATAAAACCTCACAGGAGCAGAGAGCGTCATCCTTCTTCCTCAGAGTAGCTGTGGTCTTGAACGACTGACCTGGGTGTTAGCACCCCAGCACCTAACCCCTATGCCACTATGCCACCAGTGCTCGCTTACAGATTGAACACGGTAAGATAAATCCTGCCACACACTCTAGTTCTGAATCAAGTAGCTATAGTATGGTACTATTTTATTTTTCCTTCAGCCTTTCAGCCAATGCTTTTAGCATCCATTAGTGCTCATGTGTGTATTGATTATGTAGTTGGGGGCTGCAAAATGGCTATTTCTTTTTCTAATTCTGGCGCTTTTCTACATTTTTAACTGACAATTCTTCTGCAAATGATTTGGTGTCTCAAGTAATACCCAACATTAACTTAGAATTTGTTTGTGACTCCTTCAGAGAATTAGCATTGTGGCTATTAAATACTTTGCGGCATTTGAATTTTGGAAATGAATATTGAGCAAATTTTTATTATGTGGCTCCTTTTAGCTAAGAATTATACAGCTGGAGATCTAGGGTGACCAAAACAGCACATAGTGTGCCTTTTTCACAGAGCCCTTTCTCTTTGCCCAAGAATCTATAATGATTCATGATGACCCATGTTCACCATAGAATGCTCTCAGCTGTAACCCTTATGGAAGCAAATTGCCAGATCTACCTTTTGGTGCATTTGAACTTCCAAGTCTTAGATGAGTTGTCAATATAAACCATCTGTGCCATCCAGGGACCCATGTCTTTCTGGTAGAGCCTAGAGTCTAGCTATAATCAGTATATACAGTATTTTAAAACATATATATTCCCCAAGGAAAATAATTTACTATGACCTGCTTAAAACTTTAGGCAGCGCTCTCTATCTTCTGGTGCCTGGCGCTCCGGGAGCTGAGGCATCGGTGCAGACGTGGCCAAGTCCAAGAACCACACCACGCACAACCAATTTCGGAAATGGCACAGAAACGGCATCAAAAAACCCCTGTCCCAACAAAACCAATCTCTGAAGGGGATGGACCCCAAGTTCCTGAGGAACATGCGCTTTGCCAAGAAGCACAAGAAGGGCCCGAAGAAAATGCAGGCCAACAATGCCAAGGCTGCGGCTGCTCGCACGGAGGCCATCGAGGATCTTGTGAAGCCCATCGAGGATCTTGTGAAGCCCACAGAGGTCAAGGTCAAGATCCCAATGGGCGTCAACCGCAAGCTCAGCCGACTGGCCTACATCGCCCACCCCAAGCTTGGCAAGCGGGCTTGGGCACGTATTGCCAAGGGTCTGAGGCTCTGCCGGCCCAAGGCCAAGGCACAAAGCAAGGCTGACGCTCCAGCCAAGGCCACGACTCCAGCAAAAGCTCCCA